CCCCCAGCCAGGGTCAACCCACCACAATTTGGCACAAACTTTTAAAACAGCACTACGCTCACACAGCTACTTCAGTGAGGACATTCTACCACACCTGAATTTAACCAGCACTGTCTTGTTTTTGCATCTGATAGCAGTAACTACTCTGAGGTCCAACTCCTTGGGACTCAACACACAGCCAGGGGGAACAAGTGAGTTTCTGCCCTTAAAACATCTAACGCTATGTTGATATTCTATAAAAACTACAAGCAAAAATTAGGCTGCTCCTTCCTCTAATAGTGCTGCTGGCCTCCCTCAGCCATCAGAGATGCCAGTAGTTGTTTACATTTATTTATGCCAGCTAAAGGCTTGCCTGCATAACTAAGTCTTGCTTACTTTCTATCTAAGATATTGGAATTTAATTTTATATACTGAAACACTGCCCGAGTCACTATTCTGACTAATGCAAGATACCCGAGAGATATTAAACCATCTTCATTTAAAAGCATTCTCATTTACTATTAAAAGCTAAGGTCTAGATTTTGTCCAGAGGCTGTTATTCCTGCCTAGGGCTCACTCTGGACTTGCAAATCTCTGTAGCAAGAGCTCCCTCTGACCTGACAGGCCCAGTAACACAGAAGAGAATCCTGGTTCCAACAGGAGATGATGGAATTCTACCCTTCCCGCTGTGAAGCTAACACCGCTGAGGTTGTAATGCTGGAAACAACTGAGCCACACTAACAGTGGGAAGGAGGAGTTCATAGATCTGCATCAAGAACCAAGGAAAGATCTCCACCCACTCATTTTCACATATGAGTCACTTGATTTGGGACTGTGTTAAGGGAAAAAAAAAAAAAAAAAGAAAAGGAAAAATAAGTCTTTTCACAAGCCGCACCCCTGAAGTCTGCAGGCAGGCCCTGTGGACAGGGGAGAGATCACAGCGAGCTGGAGCCTACAATGTAAAGGAAAGGCATTACCAGCCAGTTCAAAGTGCTAAAGCTAACGCTCTGTCTGCCCGATGCTCCCTTGCCCCCACCTCCTTCCCCTCAGGCTCTCTTCAAAGATGATTAGTTTTTTTAGATAAGAAGTTGTGCAGAAGGATAAAAGACTTGCTTCATTAAAGGCAAAAGCAAGGTCTGGATGTGCTGGTGATAGCGTTATTAAAAAAAACACCCCGAAATCCCAACCTCCCCCCCAAGCACGCCACAGTATAATGGCTTTGAGGTAACGGTGCAGAACGAGGTGTGTTTATTCTTGGTTCACTCATTTCAACGTTTGGTGGTGCCAGTGTACGAGAGACAGACGTTGGGAAACATGAGGACAGAGGGCCACCACTGACTCCTGCCCTGGAAAAGCACAGGTCTGCATGGGTCACTGTTAATGATACAAGTTCTGATCTGCAGGTGTTAGGAAGTGACTGAGTACAAAGCAGAATTCCTGGGTTGATGCAAGGACTACCTGCTTTAAGGACTTTACTTATGATGATGTTAACATAAGATGTTTCTTTAAAAACCAAATTAATTAAACAGTGTGGTGGGAAACAGTTAATTGATCAAAGCTAGGAAACATTAAATAGTTAATTTTTAAAAGTAGTAACAAGATTTAGGCTATTTTAAGCTTTTCAAAATGTCATTATTCATTAAGAAGTCTTAATCAAGACTTCTTTTCAAGTCACCTCCATTAACTTTTGCCAGAAGACAAGAAAGATCTGTATTATAAGTCCAAGGAATAATAAAACAATCTGAGTTCTTGTATTCTCACAGTCAGTAAAGAATTCTAGCAAAGTGCCAACAGGTCAACAACGTTTCTAAACATTACAAACCTCTGTTAGTGTATATGCTTCCTCTGCTGTGCATTCAGCTTTCACTGTAGGGTTACTTAGTGCAAATATTATGGGTCGCTCATTAATAGAGGCCATTGCTTTGATCACATCCTGAGAGAAGAGCCGCCCAGCTCCTGCAACTCCTGAAGTAAATGGAAACACATCAAAATAGAATCAATATTTGACTGCCTCAGGGCAGATGATAGCGACTGTAGATTAAGTTCATGTCACCCCCGAAGACTCCCACTCAGAGCAAAGCATCGCAGGCTTTTCTAGCAGCAGGAGATGGAAACCATGCACTGCTCTGTTCACGGCTGCTTAAAATTCTTATTTTCACAGGAACATCTAATTAATGTGCTCCAAAAGCCTATGTTACATGATTATTTTTTTTTTAATTGATCTGTGTAAAGAACACTTATCACTTCCCTGGATAAGCAAGCAGGAACTCCAGGTTCTCCACAGATGATTCATCCTAGCTGGGTGTTAACTGCAATGCACATTCCCTTGATACTGGTATTTCTGACCACACCCAAACACATAGGTACAAATACATCAAAGTAGTGTATATTTGTACACCGGCTACAAACTTTGGGGTAGCTACTCAGCCTAAACCCTCTTCTTTTCCAAATAAATCATGTGCAAAGGAAATTTCAGAGCTGTACTAGGAAATACCTGTAATCCCATCTGACCTCTGCAGACAGCCACAGTTATAAATCAATACCTACATATGTCAGTGATTTAATAGGTACTGGTGATCTGAAGTATGAAATAGCTCCTTCAAGCCATGCTGCTGGCAGATTCTGGCCAGAGAAGCTGACTAAGGGAAGGAAGGAAGGTTAAAGAAAAATAAATTTAAAAATTACGCAAGTTAGGGAACACCTGTAAAGCAGAAAATGCCATGTTTGTGATTGTTCTCTCCCTTGCTGCTGGTGTAGAGAATGTGTCTGGGAAAAAGGTTGTATTTATGTCTTCCTTAGTGCCCTTCATTACAGTTGCAGTTCACTGAGGCCACGCAGTCCCACTCAGAGTTGTTCTGAAGTCCAGCACCAGCTGGACAAGGACACAGATGCAGGAGCACCACAGCTGCAATGGAGGATGCACTGAGAGAGAACCTGCACCTCAGTATATTTTCAAGCAGAAAATGGACCTCACATTTTCATCTCATTTACACTAGCAGAAATGCAGATCACTGTCACCAACCTCCTTGGAGCCACGTTAGCAAATTACGTGCAGCAAATTAAATGCAGCAAATAACCAAATGATGGAAACACAGAAACAAAAATAAATCTCACTTACCAATGATAGCCGAAGGCCGAAGTACATTCACTGCCTCTACAAATGTCTTTGGTATCTGCTCTGGAGCCTGATGTGTAAATGGTTCTTGATTGGAATCTACCTTTTGTTCTCGGCCCTGTAGATAAAAAGTTGATTCTTTTTGTGAGAAGGACACAGAAAGCACTGGCCACCTGCATTGTGGTGTTTCAAGTCATGGTGCACCCCTACCTGAACCAGTAAACCGTATTTGTCAAACATCCATATTCTCCTGTAGGCTTCCTCAGCAGAAATGCCGCTTTCCATCATAGCCATAACAATGAGGTTTGCAATTCCCAGGGCAGCCTTGTGGATAAAAGGACTTTAATTTTTAACAAGTCACAAAAGGGATCTGTCATCACCACCATCACTCTGTTCAAGATCCCCACAAAACCCATTTAGTAAATCAGCTCTGAAACACAAGCAATGTTTGCCTAGATGAGGACAGACTCCTGGGATCAACAGTGTCATGTCTTCAAGAAAAAGAGAGAGGCAGCTTTTCTGGGTGCTGTGGCTCCATCAGTTCAGCAGCCACAATAAAGCAGCCCAACTAGAAAGTAAGAACAAGTCAGCGCTGCAGCCCTCCTATCAAGAAACCATGGCCTAGTGTTTTGTGCCCAACTGCTTTCTGAACCTCTCTCTGCTCCCACTGCCTGTGAGGGCAGAAAGAAGATGCTGGCAGTGCCTCCCTCCACATCCCTTCTCTTGGCTCGCTGCACACGCTGCCAAGTCTGGCAGGAGAAATAAGGTGGAGGGAAGCGCAGTGCTCAGGCAACAACAGAATTTCAGACAATTACTGCGATCAGGACCTTCCCCAGCTGGAGAAATTTTCAGCTAATTAAATTATTTTGTCAGCACCACAGAAGCAATTTTGCTGACATACCAAGAAGCACGGTACTGGTCCTGACATTGCGGCCCCAGTAACTAACTAGTGTTTGCTGCAAACAGCCACTGATTTAACTCACTAAGAAAACCACTGTGTACTTCTCTGCAATGCTACAAAAATTAACAGATGTTCTTCATCCCCCTTTCTTACTAAATCATAACTTTACAGTAAATTCCCCTTCAACTACACACAAGTCCCTGATGCTTTAAGTCCATGTAAGAAAGTGAAAAAACTTGAGTCCTTGCAAATGTTAAACACCTTTCAAATAATTGTCTTTAAGCAGGTAGCTCCTTCTGTTAATTTATTTCAGCTGGCTTTTTTATATAAAGAGTTCTGCAATGGAATTCAGAGAATGTGAATCTCCACAAGTCCTACAGAACCAAAAAATACACAGTTAAATCTCTTGTTGCTCTAGGGCCCTTAAGAGAACTCACCTCTCCTGCTCCAAGGAACAGCACTTTCTGCTCTGCAAGTGGTTTACCAGTGGCTTTCTGTGCTGCCAGCAGTCCTGCCAAGGCCACTGAAGCTGTCCCTGTAAAAGCAGTACAAATCCAAGAAGAGTTGAACAGATCTACAGGGCAGATCGTGGGGTTTTTTTAGGCAAGTTTTTGGAGGGTTTTTTTTGCATATACATTAAGGAACATAAACAAAGGATATACCTTGAATATCGTCATTGAAGGTACAATATTTCTCTCTGTATTTTCTTAAAAAGCGAAAAGCATTGTGGTTTCCAAAGTCTTCAAATTGGATAAGTGTGTTCTGGCCATACCTACAGAACATGGCAAATATTTCTATCACTAGACACAATCCTTTTAAAACAAATCCTGCATGTAATCTATTATCTTTGGAAAGAGGATGCCCTCAGGCCTTTCACTGCTTAAAACAATTCCATCTCCGTTCTGTGCAGATAACTACAAGCAGCAAGTTCCAGGTCACAAAGAAAATCACTCCAGAGCATGAAATACAGTCACATCTCTTGACTTCTAGTCCTATCCTTATTCCTTAAAATAACAGTTTCAAGGACAGTGTGTTATGGGGGTTTTTTTTGCCAGCAGTTTTGGCCATACTTCCGTGCAGAATATTCAGTGTCCTACCTGTCTGTAATGGCTTCCATAAATTCATCAATTAGGTCATCGTAGACCTGTGAGCGATCCCTTTTTTGGTACAGGCCCATATAAAATGGATCTTTTAAGAGTGTCTGAAAAAGAATAAATCAAAAACAGCAGCAGGATGAATCACTTCCTCAATATGCACTTCCCAGAGTTCACAGTAACACATTTCACACTGAAGATACTGCATTTATACAGCCACTGTAACTGCTTCCAGTCTATATCAATGTTCAGTAATTTCAGCTGGCACTTGAGGTTGGTGATGGCTGCTTTTAAAATGGAACAAATCAATACTGTGAACAATAAACTGCTTTAATAGATCTGATTCACATTTCCAGCTTTTTGAAGTCAGGTCAACCTGACTGCCTGTTTTACAGTGTTCCAAGTTCCAAATGCAGCATTTCACTGACATTAACTGGTGTTTTTCAATCACTGATATGTAAGTGTATAGTGAATTCCAAGTCATTTACCCTTACATAAAATACTTGGGTTTATCTTAAATACAAGTGATTAAAAAAATCTTCTCTTATAGTACTCAATACTCTTAAATAGCTATGTTTCATAGGAATAACTTATGGCAGGCAAAGTTCAGTCAAACTTACTGCATTATCAGTTCCAACGTCGATGCACACAGGCAAGCATTTATCTGGATGTATTCCTGCACAGGCTGTATACAAACACAGTTTTCCTACTGGAATTCCCATCCCATACACACCTAGATCTCCAAGACCCAATATTCTTTCTCCATCAGTGACAACAACAGCCTGAAAACAAAAGCAAGTGAAGTGATATACAATCACCAAAATTTATATAGTGTAGAGTGATACCAACTGTGATTTTTCCAGGCAAAAATTCAAACAAAAAATAGATTATGGGGAATATTTTACTTGAAGCAACAATGCTTAATGTTAGAATCTGCTATGCTCCTTTTTCTTTGCTGAAATCCACTGCTCAAATCCTTGAAAGCTAAGTGGGAAGGATTCAAGCTGCCATGTGGAACAGCAGCTTGTAACTTGGGTTTGTGATTTCCACTTGTAAATCCAGACAAAAAGTTCAGCTAAGTACATTCACCTCATCTCGTGGTTCTCGACCCAACCGCATCGTACAGGTTTCAATGGCAAAATTTGAGCCTCCCAATTACCACTTCTGCCTCCTAATCTGAGGATGAGATCACCTCTCCTACTGCTATGTAACACAATAAGACCCAGAGGTGTTTCCCCCAACACCTCCCCAAAAGGTGGAACAATGAAGTCAAAAAGTTTGGCAAGTCTAGTTCTCATCATCAAACCATAAACCTTATATTTAGGATAAAACATTGTTCTTCAAGGTACGCATTATCTGCATTAGCTGTATTTTGCCATCATCGTCCAACAGCCAAAGATGCATTATTTAGTATTTACATTTCCATCAAATACTAACAAATCTTAAGATAACAACTTGAAAAAAAATTAAACAGTGGTAGTACCTTAACATCATTCTCGGGCCAGTTGTTCACAATTGACCTTATATGGCCTCTGTCTGAGATAGAAATAAATAATCCTCTGAAAGAAAAAAAACAAAGCAGAAATATTTTTATAGGTGACAATTAGAAATTTCACCTTGCTTTGTAAAACTAAATGTCAAACAGTAACATTTTCTTAAAATTGAAAGCGTTGCAGTCACTGACATAAATCACTTGAAGGACAATTTGTAACACACAAGTCCATTCAGCTACTTTTGACACTCTAAAATAAGAACACAGAGAAAATACCTGTTGATGCTACCTCAAATTTACACTACTACAGATATTCACCTTTAATACTCCTCTAGGGCAAAACACCTCAGAGGATCTAGGCTCCCCTGTAAGGATATGAGAAGGGAACATGATCCTAAACCTGGCTTTACTATAGTGAATCTCCATTCACAATATTACACAAGGCGAGGGGAGGGAAAAGAAAGGGAAAGACAGTGACTGACCACAAGACCACGAGAACAACAGTGCTTCCCACTGCTGAGTGCTGGGATGGGAGGCAAAGGAGCAGAAGTGAAGTGCCTGTGTTTCTTCTGCTTGAGCAAGCCCGCTGTGGTTAGGAGGAAAGGGGGCACAAAAGGCTCGGCAGAGGTGGTAACTTAAGTTGCCGACACATGGAAAGTGTTGGTTCTTGGCAAGAAAGGGGCACACATCCTGAGTTCCGATCCATTTGCTGCTTCTTGTACAGACAACTTCTAGAGGGGGAAAGTTTTCAAACTGGTCTATAATACATACAGAGATGTGGCAGAGGGAAGGAAGGATGTGAGAACTAAGAGTACCTCTTTCACATCCCCTGCCCCAGATTGGGAGCAAACCCATGAGTTTCCTAACTCTCTTTATCACACCAGCCACACCACACAGCTGAGTCCTCACGGCAGCGAATGATTAGCCCTTCCTCCACACACCACTAAAGCCCTCAAGAAATACTTTGAATTGCAGTGAGAGTATAATGGAAATGACCCTTTGCCACCGGCAGCAACGTGTTGGTCGCAGGTTCGATTCTGCCCAGACCACCATTAGCCTGAGCCTCCTCCAGCAAATCTGCTGTAGGGGTGTGTGTGCCCTTGTGTTCCTGCCTCTCTGCACAGGCTGTGTGCAGGGGTGATTTAATACCCCAAGCACAGGGGTAACTTCATTCCCTTGAATTGGTACAACTCTTGTATAGCTGAATCCAAATGAAACAGAAATAAAACATGTTTTGGGTTTGCGTGGTAAGGTTTTGGTAGCGAGAGGTGGGGTGGGAGGGCGGGCTACAGGGGTGGCTTCCGTGAGAAGCTGCTAGAAGCTTCCCCCATGTCCAACAGAGCCAATGCCAGCCAGCTCCAAGACGGACCCGCCGCTGGCCAAGGCCGAGCCCATCAGCAATGGTGGTAGTGCCTCTGGGATGACCGAGTGAAGAAGGGGAAAAAAAAAAAAGGAGTGGCAGCTTTTGCAGCCAGAGAGAGGAGTGAGAAGATGTGAGAGGAACAACTCTGCAGACACCCAGGTCAGTGCAGAAGGAGGGGGAAGAGGTGCTCCAGGCACTGGAGAAGTTCATGGAGGACTGTCTCCCATGAGAGGGATCCCAGGATAGAGCAGGGGCAGAGTGTGAGGAGTCCTCCCCCTGAGGAGGAAGGAGCGGCAGAGACACCGTGTGATGAACTGACCACAATCCCCATTCCCCGTCCCCCCGTGCTGCTGGGAGGGAGGAGGGAGAGAAATGGGGAATGAAGTTGGGCCTGGGAAAAAGGAAGGGGTGGGGGGAGGTGTTTTAAGATTTTTATTTCCCATTACTTGACTTTTATTTGATTGGTAATACATTAAACTAATTTTCCCAAGTCTGTTTTGCTCATGTCAGTAATTAGTGAACGATCTCTCCCTGTCCTTATCTCGACCCACGAGCCTCTCATTATATTTTCTCTCCCCTGCCCAGCTGAGAAGGGGAGTGACAGAGCAGCTTTGGGGGTACCTGGCCTCCAGCCTGGGTCAAGCCACCACAAAACCTCAGGCAAGTATACAGAGAAAATTATAATACAAGTAGCAGCAATATTCTTACTTTGGTCTCCTGAAGATGTGTCCATACTGTGAGCAGGCAAGGCCTACTGTTGGTGTGTATACAATTGGCATTAACCGCTCGATATCATCTTGCAATACTCTATAGAATAATTTTTCATTTCTCTCTTGGATTCCCATTATGTAGATATACCTGAAATCAAGCAAAAGAAAAAAACCAAACACCACTTCTTGTTTCACATTTATGCTTATTTAAAACAACATGAAAAATGTCAAAGCAAAACCCAAACTTGCTTCAAATTATTTCTTCATGAAATTCCTGCTTCATCTCAAACTGGGCTTTGAGCCCTAACCAAAAGTTGGAAAAGAGAGAGTAGCAGTACTAAAAAGCTGAAATAAAAAACCTGGATATGACACACCATGCATGCTAACAAGGCACAAACATGCACTGTGATAAAAGATAACCCATGGATTTATTACAGGATGTAGCTGGGAGTCTCACTACTGTTTAAAAAATTATCAGCGAAAGAATTTTTCATCCAAAAAAAAAGTAAGGTCCTGACAATAAGGTCTTGTTAATCCTAATATTAGCACAAACTAACTCCTAACTAAAAGTTCATTTTGAAGGTCTTACCTAGCTGTATAAATCAAACCCGCATTTTTACAAATTCACCTACCAATCTACCGCGTATCAATTCATATTCAGTCTTGTTGACCCAAAACCATAAGGTTAATGAATTAATGATTCATCTTAGGCTACAGCAACCAGGCACTTTGCCAATACAGATGACCTGACTCTTTCAGATCAGCAAGTGACATGCTGTGGATTTAAATGCCATCTTTCGGTTTTCATAGGAACAAAAGAGTTTTGATGTGGTCCAGTAAGCCTCAAACCATTCCAGTGCTCCTCTCGCCTTTAGGAGACTGCGTATTTTTACATGCAGATATACACAGGCTTGTATGAAAACACTAACAGGATGCTAAAAACATGCCATTCTAACAAATCATCGAATCAAAATCCTTCACATTTTTTTCACTAAACCACTGGGTTAAACAGAAAAAAAGATACTAAAAAATTACACATTATGAGACTCAAAATTCTAACCCTGTAATTCCTTTCTGCTGTATATGATAAACACTGTTTTTCAGACCTAATTATCAAACCCTCAGTTTACCTTCATTCTCACATGTTTTTCTAGCATGTGCTAGCTGCCTCCTTCTCCCCCGCAATAGTTCTGTGCTCTAACAACCTGCCACCCAAATCTTACATATTACAGAAATACCTATTACATATTACAGCAAGGTTTGAAGCTTTGTTACTGGCTAATTCGTGCACATTCTTTTTCGCTACCTTATGACTATGTAATATAAGAAAAAAGCTTCCCTATCTCATTTAGCCACGTGATGAATGCGTGACTGATGAAAGCAGTTTTCTGTGCAGACGTGAAAATAACCTCCAACGACTGAAAAACCCAGTGGGGGCATAGAAACCTTGTTTGGTTATCCCCATGCAATATTTTACAGCAATTTCCATTTATTTGCATGACAAAACAAGGGCAGAGGAGACTTACTTTTCCAAGGGGTCAGTCATTTTTGCCAAATTCTTATGGAAGCGTAAGGCTTGAATGTCTTGTGTTTCTATTTTAGGAGGCAGAAGTCCTTGCAACCCAAGCATCTGTCGTTCATGTAATGTAAAGGCCATACCCTGAAAAAAAGAGAGGTGAGAAATAATTAGCAGTTCTTCCTCTAACATTTCTATTTATAATGTCATTCTATTTGCCGTTTCAGACTATCCGCTGCATCCTTTTCTCACGGCAGGTGCCAGAGCAGACAGGGTTTGGATGTATTTGTCTCTGGTGGGGTTCTCCTCATCCTTTGGGGGTATCCTTTTTGACCACAGCTTTTCCGCATCTCTTGAGTCCTCATGCCCTTTGCCAGATTTCGTTTTCCTCTGTGAAACTGGAGAACAACTAAGAGATCCCACTGCAGGCAGGCTAAGGTTTAAAAGTAAAGTAACGGATGCTTCTTGAGTGGTTTCACAGGAACATATAGGGTTGACCAGGAACATGTTAGTCACTCAGTCTGGTCTCTACAATCACACACAGTAACATTTAGTACACAGAGGTTTATCTGAATTGCTCAGTTTGCTGCTTTTTTCCTACACACTTCCAGTAATCCAGCCAGATCCCAAAGTTACTGAATTGCCCCGATACGTCTACTGAGATCACAATTCAACCTAAACCCATGATTTTTACTTAGGGCTAGAACTAATCTACTTGTCTTGAACTGTAGTCGTCTACTACCAAAAAGCCTCACTTGTAACGAATTAAGTTTCAGGAGAGTTAAACCACAAAAATATCCCACAATTTCCATTCTTCTTTGTTTCAAGGTGGATGAAGTGTTTAATTTATAGTTATTTAAATACTAATTTGAATTATTTAACAATAACATTCAATAAAAGTGGTTTTTCACTTAGTACACATAACTGCCTGCTCAGAGCTACCTGTTAGTGAAGACCTCTTCACAGGCAGTTAACTCCGAGGCGTAACTTGGCAAGATGTTAACTGATCCAAGTCTGGATTCACAGCCAACCTGGCTCAAAGCGCTGACCCCATTTCCGACAACAACTGACCCCACTTTAAGTTTGCCACTTCCAAAAGAGCAATGAGAAACTTTCCTTATTTCAGTTTATCCACTGGGTCAGTTCAGGGAATGATTAAATTGATATGTGCAAACACTGGAGGTGAAAATCCAGGAAAGCCTTTGCTATGCTAAGGCTGTGCATCAATCTGTGAGCAAAAGCAGAATGGAAAGGGAAAGGTCTGCTACTTGTAATGTTTTGAAAGAGATGGAAACAAGAAACATCAGTTCTACTCACAAACAACACTTCCTTTGTTTACTAAAGCAGCTAGATTAAAAAACAAGAGCACATTTTCTCAAACTCTGTCCCCTGCAGCTGGAAGCAGCTTCTTACTGCCAAGTTTTTTGGTTTTTGTTTTTGGTTTTTTTTTTAAAAAAAAGGTTTATAAAAAGCTTTCTAAAGTTTGTTTTATGCCTTGTAATTACATTCCAAATTCCTTCCGCAATCAGAAAAATCACAAGAAAATAAATTAATCTTTTCCCACTTTAGAATAAAAAAAACCCCATAAATGAAGATTATATATTTTCACCTCTGCTTATGTTTGAATAGGTTTTCACAGGTAGTTATAGAAAACATGCCATTAACAAAAAAACCTCTGCTTTAGAGGCTATACTTAGTGTAATTCAGCATACTTGACTGGTTTAAAACCAATATGGCAACTCCTTAGGGAAAAACATAATTAAAATTATTAATAATTTTTATATAATTTTTCTCTTTGCTTATTTAAATCACATTTAATATCAGTCCTTTTGACTACATTGATTTAAGCAGTCCACTTGCTTTTCTGTACAAATTCTATCCTATGTTCTAAAGTAATAAAATATTTGAGGAGGTAAAAAGCAAGCTACTCCTAGGAAAAAAAAAAAAGAACACAAACTTCAGAATTTTGTAAAAAACACTTGAAAATACCTTTTAGCAAAAAACTCTGAGTATTTAGCCCTAAGAGAGATCAATGCTTCATATTTCTGACAACCTTCCATGTAGTAGATTTGACAATAAATACTGAATTCAATTTACATCCTGCTTCTGCTATCCACGAGTCATTCGCAAATCTTTTTTTTTTTTTTTCTTTCCTAATGTAATTGTTATTCTCAAGTATTCTTCCAATATTGTGTGTAACTAAATTTCAGAGATGATGGCTTATTCCGGAACTTTTTACCCTTCCTGCTGGGTCTTTTGCTGGGTGTAACAGTCACTTTACCTGCGTGATAATTTTGTCTGAAAAACAACTGGAATAATCCAAAATTTCCACTGAGAACACAACCAGTAAAAGCAGCACCGGCATGAGAAAAAAAACCATGAGGAACACACACTGAATGCTTTTTTTTTTTTTCTCTTTATATTGCAAAGAATCTACTTTAGTTTCACTTCTACGTACTTCACAAGAAATACTGAAAGATTCTCTGGGAATGTAAATGCATCTTCCAAAGTTGCATGGAAGCGCACCATGCGAAAAAACACATCTCAGCTATCTTCCTCTTTTCCTTAACTACCTCCTAAATTTGTAACCATCAGCAGTTTATGCCTTTTGTGAAACAACCGTTCCTCAACACAAACTGTACTTGCAGCGCAAGTGATTTAGGATACAAAGCCAAGTACAGCTGGTAAACTTCTGTAATATTTTGATTGTTACTTTAGGCACTACAAAAACAAAAATGATGCCAAAAGATTTATGATACTAAGAAAGAAACAAAGCTTACTGTCTTTTCAGGAGATATATAAACATGGGTCAGTAAAGCCACTAATGTCACCAGTTTAAGGCACATCAAAGGCCAGAATCCATCAGTGGTACCATACTGGCTGTACTGACATTTTACTCTAAACTACCTGAATATCTCACTAGCAAAACTTACATCCTCCCCATCAGAAACTCGCAAGTCCCTGAAAAATAAATTCTATCTAATTTCCACTATTACCATGACACTGGGACATGGTTTTTCCTTAATTTCCCTGTATGTTGAAGTCAGTGACCTTAAACTACCTGGGTTCTTAATAATAATCAAATGAGCCCTGAGGATAGCACTAAGCAGAACAACCACCCATCTTTATTCAGTTTATTCACATTTTTCCCAGTCTATAGGCAACTTGGTTTTTCAGTGTTTCTGGAGCTACAGTAAAATTAAACACAGTGAATTTTTAAGTGGTACTAAGTACTTCCAGCTGTTTATTTGCATGACAATTAGATCTTACCACATTAAAAGACATTTCCATTTCTGCCCAGGCCTAACTCAGGAATCTGAATGCCATCAGTCTCCACACAGAAATTCAATCCTTGTTGCAAGTAGAAGAGAACAAGTTTAGTTCAAAGCAGCACTATAAAAACCTCAGAGCCCTTCCAACACTTGCTGTATTCCCATTCATTATCTTTGGCCGTGACCATCAGCTGCCTCTTGCTTTGGATTTGGGATTGTGGCTTGATCCCCACACAGCACCTCACAGGATGGAGATTTTCCTTCAACTAGCTCAAGAAGAGCTGCAGTATTTTTTTTTTTCTTCCTAGCCTTTTCCCTCATTTTATAAACCCTGTTTGACAGAACCAGCAATCAGCTCCCAGTGAATCAGGAATAACTCAGCAATTTGCAGCACTGGGACTGATGTTCTCAAAGGCACTTTAGATTCCAGCACCTACATAAAGGCCAAATTCCCCCTGGTTTCCACTGGGATCAAATGCCTAATTACTGTCATGATTTGGATTTAAATCAGAGAGATCAAATTTTGGTTTCCTTTGACCCACAGTGCTAGGTGTCCTTTCTCTGAGTGTTCTGCACTGACTTTCACTTAGATTAGTTTCCTTAATCCTCTTTACAGCTCAGAAAAAAACAGGTGTCCTTTCTACGATAGTACAGACAAAGCAGGGAGTGACTCTAGGAGAAAACCCAGCACACTTCAAAGGCCACAAATGAATTAATTAATACGCATGGACAAATTTATTGTAACAAAACCAACGTACTGCCGTGGGGGAAAAAAAAAAAGCAAGTAAAGTGAAGTGTTGACAGTTTTTTAGTTAAGACAAGCTCACATTGAATCACCATGTACTGTGCCTTTAATCCATGAAGTATCTGGCACTGGGACCTCACTTTAGCACTAACAACTGCACTCTACTACACAAAGCGAGCAGTGCTATAAATACCAGCATATAGAAATTCTAGTTGCCCGCTTTGCATCAAGGTGAACAGGAGACCTGAATCCTGCAAGTGTGATTTTTATAACACCACTAAGTAATACAGAGAGGTTTCTAAGCAGAGAAGTACTAGTGGTGATTATTTTTTCCCCTACCTGCAAAGTCTTGCAGGCATATATATACATGTAGGAGGGGATACTTTTACCTGATACCATAAATACTCTCAAACATTCTGAAAACCTGCACAGTTTATAACAAATAACCCATTCAAAGCCCCTGATAAAGATGTAGATGCACAATATATCCAAGCATGCCACTGTTTGGAAAATGAGTTAGCCTACTTTACAGGAAAGATTTAATCAAATGGTTTTCATGTAACTTCTAATCATTATTGTAACATATTCAGCAGTATACTGTAGGCTTTGAAGTAGCATCATAAAGACTTTTAAAATAAAGTGGATTTCACATTGGATTGTGGGCTGCTGCTTCTCTTAACTCTGCTGCCTTTTGCTAAATCACAAAGTTCACTATTGTGCAATGTCTCCATTGCAAATTAATAAAGTTCACTCATATGAATCAAAGGTGCATTTGCTATCTCAACCATAGATTCAAAGTTTCTCTGTGTTCATGAGAATAGCATAGAATATGGAAATCTCCTTTGATTTCTTTCCTCCTTCATTTTTTAAACTCAATTTCATATCTTTATTCTTCCAGAAACAGCATAGTATATATACTGGAGGGTATGGCTGATACAGCACAGCAATCTACTCCCTGCT